AAAATTTTTTTCCCCCCCCCCTGGAAAGTTAACCGTTTTTTTTGCCGCCCCCCCCCCTCCCCACCTAGAACGTTTTCTGCGGGCGCCCATGTTTCCAGAGGACTGTGATCTGCTTCAAATCCGGACAAAGGATGACAAAGATATATTCTTCCTGGTCTTCCGCACTCCGACTGAATGAGAATGATATGATTTATATACTACATTCAGCTCATTCGGCTCTCATGTTTCTATAGCATATAGGCCTAGTATTTCTAGCGTATCAATGTCTTGGGCCAGGCCAGGCATTCGTTTACACTTATTGCCCTTATGCCTTGTGGTGGGAAAAAAAAAAAAAGAGATACGGCGCTCTGACACTACACTGAAGCGCACTACATGTTGATATTCAACCATGGATACCATCACTGCGAGTTATCTATTCGAGGACATGAAATTGTCTTTGTCGCTTTTGTCAAACAGCTGGGTTGTTTACTGGATATTCCGGATTTATCGGAGATTTCCATAAGACGCACAAAGCGATATTATGTGCAGGAAGCACTCGTGGCGGTGGGGTGTCATAAAAAAATAAAATTGCTGATGTCTGACATCAGCACCCATATCCTCACTGGGCAAGGTGCTCACATTGAATCTTACTGATAGATTTCTCTTAATCTTATTGATTCTACCTAAGACATATGTAGGTTATTCCAAATCACCTAAATTAAACCAGATATAGTGCTTCTGTTTGTTAAGATCAAGACATTAGATTTACATTTTAACAAAATAAAAGATTTAAAAAACCAATTGTTTAAAATATGGTTAATTAAAAAAAACAACAACAAACAACATATATATATATATATATATATATATATATATATATATATATATTAATATATATATATAAAATTTCTAGAGATATATATAAAGATATTTGTTTATTTTTTAAAATATATATATATAGTATAATAAAAAACAAAAAAACACACACAACACACACAACACTAAAAAAAAAAAAAAAAAAAAAAAAAAAAAAAAAAAAAAAATATAAAAAAAAAAAAAAAAAAAAAAAAAAATATATATATATATATATATATATATATATATATATATATATATTAATGTATATAGGTCAAATTTCTAGAGATGGATCTGAAGATATTTGTTTATTTTTTAAATTATATACATATAGTATAGTAAATGACAAACCAATGCACACAAGACTCACAACACACATACGACTCACTAAACACATACGATACACAACACACATACGACCCACAACACACAATCAAATCCCTACATACATACGAATCACAACACACATGCTACTCACAGCACACAGATGACTCACAAATGCATTCATAAATACAGGCATATACAAAAAAAAACTTTTTTAATTTACATTTTTGAATATAAACCTACCAAGCTTCACGCAAGCATTCACCAAACACAGACCCCCTCAAACACACCACACATACACACAAACTCATTCAGAGGCACACGCGCTTCAATAAAAAAAAGGAGAAAAAAGAAACAACGAAAACATTAGGCACTCGTAGCTAATAAAACCACATTCACATATAAGATGTGTAGCGGAACAATGAAGTGAATTAACCAGATACGTTAACAAGAAATAATGATCAAATTCACGCCATCCATGTCCTTCAATTACTTGCAGTTTGAAAGCGCAATCAACAAAATTTCTTCCTTTCGTGTCACAAAGTTAGCGGAAACAAATCAATTGAGCTGGGCAATCAGCAGCTGTTGACTTAGGCCAGTGATCGGCAGGGCGCGGCTCGTGAGCCGCATGCGGCTGTCTAATGACCTGAGTGCGGCTCGGCCAGCCGGCCACAGATGGGTTTTGACTCCGAGAAACAAGGTTCTGGATAGGTTCTTGACAAGTAATTTGGTTCTCTAATTAAAAAAACAAAATAAATCGCCCTGCTGGTGATTTTCGGCTCTTTGGACTAACGAGTGCGCCGACCACTGACTTAAGTGAAGCTTGAACAAATTGAGACCATTTGTTGTTGGCGGCGAACATTTAAGTCAATGCATGATGAGTTGTCTGTATTCACTTTCCTGCACCATGTGTTGCGCACGATGATTTGATCTTACAACCACAGGGCAGATTCGATTGTCCCCCATTGTTATAATGAATCCTGCTGTGACCTACTGCCACTGCCATGGCTTTTTCAACCACAAGGTTGCTGCACTTGATTTTAACCTTGACGATTCTGTAGAAAAATGAAAAGCAATACAATTTATTGCATGGGGCATAAAAAAAAGGAGAGCACTGCAATATTCGGAACGTCTTTCTTTGCATTTGTCATGTTTTTTGAAGAGTAGAAGTAGAACATGTTCGCAGAAACAAAAGTTAAATAAATTTAAAAAAAATTATTATGGAAATAAAATGCCAAAGTGCCTGTCATTGCGCCCTATCACGTAGCTTGGAGAGGACAAGATGAGTCCATTCGGGGATTGGATGCATTAACGTACAGGCTGAAACTGACCCAATCCGATGAATCTCAACTATTTTGTATTTAATCCTTAAAAGGCATTGGATTTCATCCTTAAAAGGCATTGGATTTCACCCTTAGAAGGCATTGGATTTCATCCTTAGAAGGCATTGGATTTCATCCTTATAAGGCATTGGATTACGATAAGTAAGAATGGCAATGCGTTTAAAAAAAACAAAAACAAAAAAACAACAAAAAAAAAACAACAACAAACTAAAACGCTATTTGTGATGAAGAAATTCTTTGACCACACCTTTCCTTGCCGGACCTTAAGTCTGACATTTGTACCTTTAGTTTGACCTTTAGCCCGGGATGCTACACGGAAGTAACTTGATGTGTTGTAAATACCAGTCGCAGCGTTTTGAGTATAACAGACGGTGTAATGAAAGTCTGCAATGTGTAAATATGACGAAAGCTGTTTATTTTGATAAAAACCAATTTGAAACTTACTGTTTGACGACTGGACCGTCCATGTCAGCTTTAATTTTACAATCGACATGATGGTCGTCAGAGTGGCCGACAATTTTTTTGGTCTGCAATTCGTCCAGGTATTTCCGTAATTCCAATTCTACATGTGATACGATTCGTTCATTTAACTGTTTCTCAAATTCTTGTTTATCTTTGATAGGACTGCTGGTGAACACGCGCTGTAAATCATTTTTTATTCTGTCACTTAGGGCAACTTTATCTGCATTCCCAGGACCATTTTGTGTACTGTTCCTACTTCCGCGTCCCAAGAGCTCATCACTAGGTCTCACGTTATCTAAAAGTTTCCCGATGGTAGGGTATTTTTTTTGACGAAAACTTTTTTGTTGGGCTGAGGAGTTTGTCATTTTTAGCCGATACATTTTTCTGATCTTTGCGGCTAACGACGGTTTCACGTTGATTGCCACTTGAGGAGCTCGTGGATGTTTCTACCCCGACTCCCTTGCATCTCGTTGCTGTGTCTCGCTGGGCACTGACACCAGAGGCAGTGTTGCCCGCAATAGAATTACCCCCTCCCCCCTGACAGCCATCTGTCTGGACACTAGTTTCTCTGATAATCGAATTCAAAATGTTGACACCTTTAAATGTAATTCTCAATTTAATCCAATACGAAGATTGCTTTGTATCGTGGTCCTCATGAATATTTTCATCCATTTTTCTGTGATGGATGATAAACAGCAGCAAGCTACGCAAGGCCCATGTGCTCTAACTCCAACGAACACTGGCACACTTGTATACAGAAAACTCAGATTGCGAGTTGCTTCCTTTGATGTTATTTAAATACCAAGAAACCCCGTAGCAAAAGTTTGAGATATCAAATCAGAAACGTATCCAGTTCTTTGTTGCTGTTGTTTTTCCCCCTTAAATTAAAAGAATATAAAGCATCAGTCGATGAGTTGACACAAAGAGTCCAATCCACCCCACGTTTTGGTTGAGTGATGAGCAGGGTATACAAGAATGGTTTTCATCTGTTTACATCATAAAAGAATATAAAGCATCAGTCAATGAGTTCACACAAAGAATCCAGTCCACCCCACGTTTTGGTTGAGTGATGAGCAGGGTATACAAGAATGGTTTTCATCTGTTTACATCAGCGTTTAGTTAACATCTGAGCCAAACGCAACGAACTATTATTGAACGAATGGCCCTTTCTGTGCCGTTAAATTTCTCCTTGAGCTGCGTAGCGTTACGACGATGAGCTCATCCGCATCTGTTCCAGGAAGCGATTAATTCAAAACACACAAGTCGGGTAAGAAATTTAAGAACTGAAGTCTTTTCAAAGACTTTATAACATATATCTCATGTCCGGTATCGTGAACGCTGTATTGGACTTGCAGGATATTAACCGACATTTGTTCCATACCAAAACAGAAAAATCGTACCGGTTTTTACCAGTGTTCTAAATTTAGCTGCTTACTTCAGCAAATCTCCAACATCTAATGTGCATTTGAGAACATGACGCAGTTGTTTTTAGGGAATTGTACTACGCGACAGCATAATGTTCTTTTATTTTGTTGTTGATTACTCTATTAATCATATAGAAAGTAAACTGTTCACATTATAATGAGGGCGAATCAATGAATATGTCATAAACCATTCTCTTTTTAAAATCGTGATTCTAATATTTTCGTTGGCCCTTTTGTATATAATACGTAATGTATTTTGGCCCTTTCTTTTCTTTTAACGCTTTATTTTATTTTTTTGAAAAAATAAAAAAAAATCGTTAAATTTGAAAATAAATCTTGAACAAATGAAAATCAAAACATAATAGATCGCAATATAAATGACATATACTTTAAATACGGAATTTGACGGAACACATACAAAAAATAAATCCTGATGTTGGCATTCATTCAAGCCTCCAATGAGCATGACACACATTTTCACAAATTTCAGATCGACGCAAATTCCTTTCATGGTTGCGTTTTGCATGACACACGACTCGTGTCAGGGATCTTCTCGAGACGGGTCCAAAAGTAGGTCACTGAAACTCTTTGAAAAAAATCGAGCCAATACCAGATTATCATGTAAAAAAAAAAAAAAATCTCCGAAGGTGTCATTTACTTTTCAGATAACACATAAGTGTCGAATCTGTATTTCTTGTTGAGTCGGCACAACACACATTATTCTAGACATAATGAAGTTTTAGCAAACCATTAAGTGTGATTATTTTAAGACTTTGATGTAATTTGATTTGAAAAAATTACACACGATTATTTACAAATAATCTGGACAAGGTCTATCGTTTAAAATGATTTATTTGAACACCTTTAAAAAAAAGAAAAATCCATGAATCCCCCGCCAATCCTTTACTAAAAATAGAAAACATAAAATAAGGCGCTTCAAGACGAACATCAAAGATAAACCAAGTAGTTTGGGTTTTCCCGAAGATCTGGACTTAACAATCCTTAAAAACACAAACCGAATCATGAACACGTACCACAGTTTTAGTATGCCAGTTACAGAGCAAAATGAAACATGACCATTAAACACAGTTTTAGTTTGCCATTTACAGAGCAAAATGAAACATGACCATTTAACACAGTTTTAGTGTGCCATTTACAGAACAAAATGAAATATGAACATTTAACACAGTTTTAGTATGCCATTTCCAGAACAAAATGAAACATGAACATTTAACACAGTTTTAGAGTGCCATTTACAGAACAAAATGAAACATGAACATTTAACACAGTTTTAGTGTGCCATTTACAGAACAAAATGAAACATGAACATTTAACACAATTTTGGTGTGCCATTTACAGAACAAAATGAAACATGAACATTTAACACAATTTTTTTGTGCCATTTACATAACAAAATGAAACATGAACATTTAACACAATTTTAGTGTGCCATTTACAGAAAAAAATGAAACATGAACATTTAACACAATTTTGGTGTGCCATTTACAGAACAAAATGAAACATGAACATTTAACACAATTTTAGTGTGCCATTTACAGAACAAAATGAAACATGAACATTTAACACAATTTTAGTGTGCCATTTACAGAACAAAATGAATCATGAACATTTAACACAATTTTAGTGTGCCATTTACAGAACAAAATGAAACATGAACATTTAAACACAGCTTTAGTGTGCCATTTACAGAACAAAATGAAACATGAACATTTAACACAATTTTAGTGTGCCATTTACAGAACAAAATGAAACATGAACATTTAACACAATTTTAGTGTGCCATTTACAGAACAAAATGAAACATGAACATTTAACACAGTTTTAGTGTGCCATTTACAGAACAAAATGAAACATGAACATTTAACACAATTTTAGTGTGCCATTTACAGAACAAAATGAAACATGAACATTTAACACAATTTTAGTGTGCCATTGACAGAACAAAATGAAACATGAACATTTAACACCGTTTTAGTGTGCCATTTACAGAACAAAATGAAACATGAACATTTACCACAGTTTAAGTATACATTTTTTACAGAAAAAAACGAGTCACGGACAAGCCTTACTGTCTGATGCTATCAGAAAGGGACAGATTGGAATCGGCATCAGATATAGAACTGGTGGTAATAGGTAAAGTATTCAACCTCAGAAGACCTAACGCTAAAATCCAAGTCCTGGCGGACATCATCAGGGACTTTCCTGTATGCCGTCGACTGTGCCCTTAATGCTTAATCAGAGGGCTATATGAAAACTTCTTGAATGCCTGCACAAACTTTGATCTTACCATTAACACAAAAAAAAAAAAAAGACTTGGGTCCTGTACTAACCAGCTTCATCAAAACCTTACATCGAGCCCAACATCCAATTCAATGGTGAAAGGCGAAAGGCTAAAGTTGTAAACAGCTTCTCTTACCTTGGCAGCACACTGTCCCAAAGTGTAACCATTGATGATGAGGCGAACCTTCGGATTGCAAGAGCCATCCAAACATTCGGACACATGTCAAAGGATGTATGGACAAAGAGAGGCATCAGCACCTAAACGGGAAATACAGATTTTTCATTGCAGATGTGCTCCCAACGCTAGTATATGCTTTTAAAACATGGACATCCTATTAAAGCCATGATGGGAAAATTTCGTATTCTTTTTTCATATCCTTCTACTTCAAGTTTACACGTACTGCAAAATCAAATGGCAGGAAAAGATACTAGACACCGAGGTATCTTCCCAGCATACAACCTTATTAATAAGCGGGTCATGTTGCGAGAATGTCAGAAGACCGCTTGCCCAAAAGAACATTTTTATGGTAAACTCAAGGAGGGCAGGTGCTTGCTGGGAGACAGAAGAAATGCTTTAATGAAAAGCTGAAAGCATCTTTGAAACCATTTCACATTGACCCGGGTAAGTGGGGATAATCCTCACAGGATCGAGACTCACGGCGCTCCTCCCTACTCAAGGGCCCAATGGAACATGAGGCTGATAGAGCAGCTTCGTTGGAACACAAAAAGACGAGTCAGAAAAAACTTGTCTTTGCTATGTACCTGGAGTTTCCCCATTCATCCCTTGAACCTTCTTCACCAGAACATTTCGTGACAGAATCGGTCTTATCAGCCATCCGCGAAGCCAAAGATAGATACAGCCCCCAGCGACAAGCCGATGTTTTTAAAAATGGACATGATTGAATTTCGAATGACAAACTACCAAGTCTAACATTTTACAGAACACACCGAACCATGAACGTTTATCACAATTTAAGTTTACTATTTCACAGAATAAACCGAAACAATAAACATTGAACACAGAGTATGTATATCAATTTACTAAACAAATGGTTGACAATCTCATTTACTACAAAAAGTTACCCAAGCAAATTAAAATTATTAAAAAAGATGAATTACCCAAAATTATAGTTTTAATAAAAAATTAATTTTTGAGGATAATAATTATTTTTCCGAGTTAGTACGCGGATCTCTTCGCTAAAATGTTTGTTTCTGAATCTAGTGTTATTATAAAGTCCATTTGATATTTGAGTTCAGCTGCAGAGCACACCATTCTCCCCTCAATACAGCAATGACAGTTTGTTTACACACTTAATGCAACGACAATTTGAAGGAGATTAAAAAAATTTAACCTTGATTTATTGAACCAGACATTAAAATTCTTGGACCATTCGTTAAGAAAAAAATTACTATAGGAAAACGTAAAATAATGAGAATAAAGGTTTATTTCTCATACGGCAAAGTTTAAGAAATGTTTTGATGTGTGCTCACTTGAAACTTAAAGAAAAAATTATTTTCATGATGTTTTTAAAATTTAAGTTATAGATGAAACACATGCATAGTGGGGGAAGAACAATTTAAAAAAAAAAGCTAAAAAAAACAACTTTATCTAGGGTTCTCAAAATGTTAGAATGAAATTCACTTCATAAATTTAGGTAAAAATGCCTATGTCATGTTTTATTATTTTGGTAAGTCAAGCTGGACATCTGTATGATAAGAGTTTTTTTTACACTTCTTTTTATCCCCCGGTGTGCAGAAGATCAAAGGAATTAAAGGAAACAAAGTAAGTGAAAACTTGAAAAAGAATGACGTAATAAGACAACGAACGCGTCGGCAAGACGCCTTCTCCAGTGAACAAACAACCGCAGAAATTTTGTTAAATAAAACTAAACACTTAGATGTAGAGTTGTATCTGAAGGACCGCAAGAAGAATGTGATAGAGCAGAATTAGCTGAGAGAGTTATTGGGCGGAAGAGAGGCAGATTACTGTTTAAAAAAATCAATACATTTAAATCAAAAATAAAACTTGTATTTTAAAAGATCTCAATAAAGTCAATGTAGGTCAATGTTCGGACCAGGAGGTACTCTATGAGGTACGCTAAGTTTTGTAGAGCAGATAATGGCCTTTAAATTAAATTCACAAACGAAAGGAAAAAAATACATTTTTAATCATTACCTTTAGACAGTTAATAAAATAATAAAAAAACACACATAAACAGTACAGAATAAATATTTTATTTACCATACAAAATCATGGCATTTTGAATCTAAGAACACACACAATTTAACATTACTTTAAGTGATATGCTTATAGAATTAAACTATTATGCAACTTTTGATTTAAAATAGTGGCTCTATTTCACTAAAATGAGCTTTTTTCAGCGGTTCAGACCTTTACCACATATTCCCCAAGCCAATGATGCGACTTGTCTATGGCCCTGTGCGAATGCGTAAAAGGGTCGTTAAAGTTAGAAATGCACTAATGTTAACACGCCAATACACAAATCATCACTAAGTCATCTGATTGTTTATCGTTCTCTTTTTTTTCGACTTCTTCTGAAGGACAATCGTGTAATCCAAATAACCCACGTATTTTGTGAGTATCCTGGTAGTGTCCCCAGTATCCTAGTAGTGTCCCCAGTATCCTAGTAGTGTCCCCAGTATCCTAGTAGTGTCCCCAGTATCCTAGTAGTGTCCCCAGTATCCTAGTAGTGTCCCCAGTATCCTGGTAGTGTCCCCCCCCCCCCTTTGAAGTCGTGAATAAATGTGGCCAAATTTCAAGTAGAAAATCAACCCGACCACCGTGGCCATTGCGTTAACATAAACAAAAACGACGCTATGAAAAAGTGGTGCTGCTTGATTTTGTGACGCCCGGGGCGTTCCATAATTTCGTCGCCCACACCACATGCAATTTACGGAATACAAATCGAACGTCACGCATTGTAAAGTGGACCAAAAATGCTGGGTTTGTCTGACAAATGCCATGATCAGCATAAAATGTACACACCAAGCCTACCGCAGGAAATATTGATTGTGTTTCAATATGTACTCAGAATTATTTACCCTCCTACAAAGTTTCTAGAATCTCGAGGGGTTGGGATTGGCTTCAAACCCGGACACAAGGTATACAAAAAAGGTGCAATCTTTTAATCTTCCGATTTCCGATAGTCTGAGAATGATAAGCCTTATGCTGAAACCCCAGTTCTCTGTTATGTAACTCCCATAGTGTTTTAGTGTTTCTAGAGCAGTGGTTCTTAACCTGGGTTCGATCGAACCCCAGGGGTGCGGTGTGTCAGTCTCAGGGGTTCAACGGAGGTCTAAAAAAAAAATCAGAAAAAAAATCATATTTTATTTTTCCTATTAAGAAGGGTTCGGTGAATGCTCATATGAAACTGGTGGGGTTCGGTACCCCCAAAAAGGTTAAGAGCCGCTGTTCTAGAGTATCAATGTGTCGGGTCAGGACTGAGCGTACGTTCACATTTAATTCACTAGTTCCTCGTAGTGGCTAAAAGATCCCCCACCGCCACATAATCAAGTACAACGTGTTGATTTTCAGCCGTGGATACAATCATTCCAGATACTCTAATCCAGTGCTCCTCAAACTACGGCCCGCGGGCTACTTCCGGACCGACACGGATCCTTAATCGTACAGGTACCATAGCAGTGAAACAAAATATGGGACTACTTAGATTTTACCACTGTTCTTCAGAAGAAGTGATAGAGGAATGATTGAGCAATCGCATGATTTAATGATTAATAAGATGTTGGCGCGTTAACATTCGTTTATTCCTAAAGTTGACCAATAGTTCCTGATGAAAAATTAAAGTTTCTTCTTGTTGAAAATTGTTCTTCATTTCAAATGCTATGTTTTTTTTCTGTTACGTTTACACCACAAATACGATATGTGAAATGGACTATATTTTTGTAAACTTACTTCTTCAGTTTAACTAAAATAAACTACCACAAATGACATCCGAATAACATTTAATCTAAAAGGACCCGGACACGCATAGCCGCTATTCGGACATGGGTCCCTTTAGACTCAATGCCAATCGGATGTCATTTGTAATAGTCTATTTTAGTTAAACTGAAGTAGTAAGTTTACAAACATATAGTCCATTTAATTATCTTTTATTTGATATTTTTTTCTTACAACCTAACAATAATATTTTTAATATTTTTTTTAAAACCCAGCCTCTCACTTCTGGAACCAGGGTCCGAATAGCAACTTCGATAATAGTAATACTGTTTCTGTCTGAGATTGTACTGTCATGGTCCATTGAGCAAAGTTTTCCTCAGTCGCCCTTGGCTATACTTATCGAATGCAACTAAGTACCTGTAAAGGTGAATCCAACTGAACTATTTCAGTCAGGCGCAGCGATTCTCTCTTGTAAACACTATGCAACATTTTACAACATCAATTACATGGTGACGACTCAGTTCGTTTTTTCGAAAGCTCTATTCCTTTTGTTAAGACAAACTTCATTTTCTAGCCATATTAAAAAAAACATATTTGTTTATTTTAGTTTTAAAAATAAGAACGATTGGTAACATAAAAAAATGTAAAATTAAAACAAAATAAAAATAAATTGACAACACACACATATGATACTTTGGCGCACTTGAATCACACATTCATTCATGAATACAAATAAATACACACAAGCAATTGTATACGTTTGAATATACACGCCTACAGACGGTCCGACACCCTACTTGCTGGCCTTTAAACAATAGTCCTACAGACAGTCCTACAGTGTCCGACACCCTACCCGTGGCTCTTTAGTGATTAATATAATAGAAGGAACCGCATGACGTTCTCTCATGACACCATTTTTTTCCCTCCACTCAGCACTATTAATACAAAACATGTTGAGTAGGGAGAGGGCCGGTTGTGAAAAGGAAAGGGACACACCAGAAGCAATATATATATATATATATATATATATATATATATATATATATATATAAATAAATAAATAAATAAATAAATAAATATATATAGGAGATAATCCAATTCATCCCATTCACTCAGACAATTAATTTGCAACTTTTGTCACCTAATAATCTTAAACTGTTCTCATGAATCTAAAGTATTTTAAAACTACTCTCTCAAACAACTCAAACTGTGCACCTTTCACCAAGCACTCTCAATCTCAAACACATACTATGTAAAGCTTCAAATATCCTTTCACAGATGTTTAATTGTTCCAGGTCCCCTCATGCACGCACGCAGGTTGATAGAGTTTGTAATTCAACAACATTATTTTTTGCCGTATCTCACTTTCATTTTTTTAAAATTTTTAAATTGACCTCAGGAAAAACTGGAAGATATGACCCGACATTACTGGAATAATATTGGAAGGCATTTTTTCGATTCTTTCTACCTGCTGCAAAGTCTCAACATCTGATATTATATTCAAATTTTTACTAACTGAAATAGTTTAGATACGACAATATTTCAAGCCATTGAAATGTATATTTTACCTGCAGAAAAGCAGAAATATTTGATCAGATTTAATTTGATTCGATTTACGTGAAATAATACAAAATCACGATCATTTTTGTTTAGACTCTAGCGTTAGTTACTCGATCACATGATCTTATTCTTATACAAAAATATTATTATATTCGTGTAACAAAATTAGAGAAACAAAATATATTCAAACTGGTTAGCCGATAATCTGCTGTTCCCTCCTGTGAATTTTTAAATAATTGAATCCATTTGACGTTGTCAAAACATTCATGTATTTACTTTCCTGTCCTACGTGTTCTTCATGATGAGCTGCTTGTGTTCTGTTCCCTGCCCCATATGTCAGGCATGATGAGCTGCCTGTATTCAGTTCCCTGCCCAATGTGTCAGGCATGATGAGTTGTCTGTGTTCAGTTCCCTGCGCCATGTGTCAGACATGATGAGCTGCCTGTGTTCAGTTCCCTGCACCATGTGTCAGACATGATGAGCTGCCTGTATTCAGTTCCCTGCCCCATGTGTCAGGCATGATGAGTTGTCTGTGTTCAGTTCCCTGCCCCATGTATCTGGCATGATGGGTTGATCTTACACCCACAAGGCAGCATGGATTGCTCATTATCACCATAATGAATACTGCTGTGATCTAAGGCCACCGCATGGGCATTTTTAACCACAAGTGTACTGCACTTGATTTTATTTCCTGTATTAATCTGTACATTGACGATTCTGTTCGGGTTAAAGAAATGGAATGGAAATTTATTTAAGTTCACTAATTAATTAAGACATGGAAAACAAATCTTTTTTACTTATAATCTTGATAAGTGTTTGTCAATAGTGCGTGTAATTTTTTTCCTTATTAACTTACAGTTACAGGTACATGTACAGATACAGGTAAAAATACAGGTACATGTACAGGTACATATACAGGTACATGTACAGATACAAGTATCAATACAGATACAGGTACAGATACAGGTACAGACACAGGTACAGATACAGGTACATATACAGGTACATGTACAGGTGCATATACAAATACAGGTACATGTACAAGTACACACACAGATACAGGTACAGATACAGGTACAGACACAGGTACATGTACAGGTGCATATACAGGTACATGCCCATTCTAAATGAATTTACGAAATAAAAATTCAAATGATAAATATACAATTAAAAATAACGCAATTGTGCTTATGTTTTGACAAAGTATTAAAATGACCAACACCATTTTGGATGGTAGAGCGTTCTTTTTAAAGGAAGCGATGCAATCTTTAAAAAAAAAATTACATAATTAAAATTCGAAACTTATTTTGCTATTGTGTTTTGTTTCTCAGTTTCTATTTTTTTCTATATTTTTTGAGAGCCCACGAACAATTTATTGATAATTCTGGCTCCTGGTTTGAATTCAGAGTTCGCCTTCTCTTCGATGAATTTCCATCCAAGACTAACGAGTCCCCTTCCACTAAGGGTGCTTGGGATGTTTTTTGCTGGTCTTGGATTTCGTGCAGATTGATCTCCAGACCATCAGCTATTTGGATTGAATCAGTTTAGACCACTCGGCCACCCAGCACCAAGTTCTAGAAGATAATGGGAATCCGATTGGGAACAATACCTTTTCTAACATATCGTTACAAAGCTACTAAGGTGTAAACAGTGTAGTTGCAATCTGCTAGTGCCATTATGAGATAAGATAAAATACGATAATATAATATAAGATATGTTTATTGATACAAGTAAATGGATTTATGTTTTAAACTTTCATCGTAAATATATTTTTAATTCTTTTGAATTATTGTTTTGAGTTTTGAGTTGCTCCTTAAAAATTATAGTCTGTACTGTAGCATGGTACTTACTGTTTTACACCTCCATTTTCCATCTTTCCCGAGACTGTACAATCGATGCGATGGTCAGCAGACGTACTCGTCAACTGACCTGATTGCAGTTTGTCTACGTGTTCCCGAAGAGCAGCGCCCACATCCGATAAAACCTGCTCCCTTATCAGCATTTCCAATTCGTGTTGATCTCTGACAGGACACTTGGTCAAGAAATTGTGTAGTACAATTTTCAGATCCTCATTCAGGAAAGCTGTTTCCGTAGACCGGTCATCGGCGCTGGCATTTGTTTCCCAACCTAGGCTCATCACTGGGTAACTTCGGCTCACGCTTTTTACCAGGGCCCCAATGGAAGGGTAGATATTTGGCGAGGGTTTATTTGCCTTCTGCAGTTGGGCACCGAGGCCTGAGGCTGCATTGGCCGTCAAAGAATGTATCACTCCTTGACCGTCGTCGGTCTGGATATCAGTTTCTCTGACCGGTGACTTGAATTTCTTAACAGCTTTAACGATTACTCCAAACTGCACGCGATAGGAGGATGTCCTTATGTTTTCTTCAACAAGTATTATCTCACCCATTTTTTCCAATGACACATAGCAACAAATGAATAAAGTCCAAAGTATTCAAATAGTTCAATGTCAGTTAACACCAACGGTAACAAAAAAAAACAAAAGTTATAGTGTTTTTGTGTGGTTGAAACAATATATTTCTTCATGATTTGAAAGCAAATTATCATCTTAAAACAAAAATAAACCTTAAGACATCAGTCCAAGATAACGAGCTACGAATTTTAAAAAAAAAATGTGTTTTGCTCGACAGAATACTAGTGTTGGTTTGTATCTTTTTAAGGTTTCAGTGTTGTTTGGTACCGGATAGAGATACACATAACTATAATTGTTTTAACTCCATCCTTAGAAACCCACGATTTATTTTCTTTTTGCCTAGCGTTTTGAGTTCCGCTCACGAGAACGAACACTAGTCACAATTCCAGAATGCATACGTTCGGCCACGTACATTGAGAACTGAATTTCCTGTAACTTATAAAGAACGTTGAGATCCGGGAACAAACTCCCAAGATCTGGATCTTTGCGTGTGTTCCACGACCAATTAAAGACAAGATCATAACGGTTTTTACCTGTGTTCTAAAAATAGATTGCCGTTATCTACAGAACTCCCACGTCTAATGCAGTTGCAGATTTTTAACGCCAAGCTTACCCGATTGTATTACTTGTGTCTAAACAATTATGTCAAAAAGTAGTCACACTATCATCTTAGGAGTCAAAGAGTGAATAAATGAATATTCCGCCCCTGCCGTCTTTTTATAATATTAAAATAAACATTGTACTCGGTTGAATCACTTTATACTTTCTCAAATACTTTTTGTAATGCAATTTAACCCTTTTATGGCTTAAACTTGATATGATTTGTAATGCGTTCCAGCCCTTTGTGGCTTATACTTGATATAATTTGTAATGCGTTCCAACCCTTTGTGGCTTATACTTGATATAATTTGGAATGCGTTCCAGCCCTCTGTGGCGTAAACTTGATATAATTTGTAATGCGTTCCAGCCCTTTGTGGCTTATACTTGATATAATTTGGAATGCGTTCCAGCCCTCTGTGGCTTAAACTTGATATATTTTGTAATGCGTTCCAGCCCTTTCTGGCTTAAACTTGATATATTTTGTAAAGCGTTGCAGCCCTTTGTGGCTTAAACTTGATATACTTTGTAATGCGTTCCAGCCTTTGTGGCTTATACTTGATATCTTTTGCATGCGATATCCTAACAAATCACATCTTTATTCTGTAAACAAAATTTGGACAAATATAAACCAAAAACGCATTTGAGTAAACTCCGTATACTTAAATGAAGACCTGACGTAATAGAAAGTCCAAACGTGGGTATTCCTTTAAGCGTTCAGTAAACACGACATAGATTTCTGGCACTGAGATTGGATGCAGAGTTCTGTCCTCTGAACATTTAACCCGCTACGCAGCCCCTAGAAGTCTAGAAGAAAAATTAGCGTCTAGACTTGACATATCCGTCTTGAAACGAATTTAACATCTAGATTAGAAATACCTAGTCTTGAAGAGAATTTAGTGACCAGACTGGACATAACTAGTCTTTATAAGAACTTAGGGTCTAGACTGGACATACTTGTCTTGAATCAAATTTAACGTCCAGACTAGACAAATTTAATCTTGAAGAGAATTTAGCGCCTAGACTTGAATATTTGTCTTGTATCGAATTTAACGTCTAGACTAGACATAACTAGTCTTGAAGAGAATTTAGAACAAATTTGTGGAGTTTAAGCGAACCATTAAAATTTACTGACTTTTTTGTAATAGTTTCAAAACAATTTTTAAAATTAAAATAGTTACTACGTCATTTAAAAAAAAAAAAACAACATTTTGTACAACTGTAACAACTTAAAAAAAATGAACATTAAATTTTAAAAAAATGAACATATCAACTATTAAAAAGATGCACATATCCTCACGAGTCCATTAAAAAAGTTCAGATCGCCAAGAAACACTCCCCGAGATCCCACAATGCGTTCGTTTGCTGTTCTGTTTTCCTTTGCTCGTTAAGAGTTGAAGGTCTGCAATAACCATGTGCCTAACTTTGGCAGTCAATGAACAGAACTATTTGACCGATCCGATCCCTGTGACGTTATTGTCCGCGTAGGGTTTTGGCCTGGCTCACCACTTCCTTCCCCTCAAGACTAACTGATGCGTTTGGTGCGTAATATTTCCTTTTTGTTTTTCTAAACTTGTTGATCAAATAAATGGGCAGTGTAAAAGCGGGAGGGTTTCTAAGGACATTCATCTACTTCCATATTTGAAATGTTAAATAATAATCTATATTTGAAATGTTAAAATAATGATCTTTATTTAAATTGTTAAATAATAATTTATATTTGAAATGTTCAATAATAATCTATATTTGAAATGTTAAAATAATAATCTATATTTGAAATGTTAAAAATAATCTATATTTAAAATGATAAAATAAAAATCTATATTTAAAATGTAAAAATAATAATCTATATTTGAAATGTAAAAATAATGATCTTTATTTGAAGTGGTAAATAATAGTTATTTTTAAAATGTTTAAACAATAATCTATATTTGAAATGTTAAAATATAAATCCATATTTGAAATGTTTAAATAATAATCTACATTTGAAATAATAAAATAAAAATCTATATTTGAAATATTGAATTTATAATCTATATTGAAAATGTTAAAATAATAATCTATATTTGAAATGTTAAAATAATGATCTTTATTTGAACTGTTAAATAATAATTTATTTTTGAAATGTTAAAATAATAATTTATATTTGAAATGCTAAAATAATAATCTATATTCGAAATGTTAAAATAGAAATCTATACTTGAAATGTTAAAATTATAATCTACATTTAAAATGTTAAAATAATAATCTTTATTTGAAATGTTAAAATTATAATCTATATTTAAAATGTTAAAATAAAAATATATACTGGAAATGTTAAAATAATAATCTATATTTTAATGTTAAATAATAATCTATATTTGAAATGTTAAAATAATAATCTATATTGAAATGTTAAAAAATAATCTATATTTAAAATGTTAAAATAATGATCTATATTTGAAATGTTAGAAAACTATATATTTGAAATGTTAAAATAATAATCTATATTTGAAAAGTTAAAAATGATAATGTATATTTGAAACATTAAAATATTAATCTTCATTTGAAAAGTTACAATAATAATCTATATATGAAATGTTAAAATAATTATCTATAATTTAAATGTTAAAATAATGGTCTATTATTGAAATGTTTAAATAATTATCTTTAATTTAAATGTTAAAATAATGATCTATAATTGAAATGTTAAAATAATAATCTTTAATTAAAATGTTAAAATAATGCTCTTAAATTGAAATCTTAAAGTAATGATCATTATTTGAAATGTTAAAATTAACATAAATAATTTATTTTCTTTTTCTTTTTAAATCTCGTTGCACCATGTTACAAATCCGATATTACCAGGCTCGATAGCTCCGTTGTCAAGGGTTTACCATTTACAATACGTTTAGCCATAAGAATTCTTTCTTTTTTTTTCTTCTTTTTCTGCTTTATTTATTTAGATAACCTTTTAAGTTCTTGTAAATGTTTTTTTTTTTTTTAAATTCTATTTGAAGCCTATTTCCTTTGATCACACTAATGCTGTTTTTGTTGGAGTTGTATGCATTATATCAGGATCCGACGCTAGATGCAGACATAAAGTAAACACCCCCCCCCCCCCCCCGTTTTCCGTATAAATCCTTTATAAAATGTAGCATTGAGCGATGTGGGGTGGGGTTGAAAATTTGGCAAAACGTGCACACAAGTAACGTACTTTATAAGAATCCCACTTCGTGCTCCCCACCCCCCACCTTCCCCTTTTGTTTTCCTCAAGGCTCGCAATCGCACATTTTTTCCCATATTCTATCTACCATGTATTTGTCACACAACTGTGTCCTTACTACCTGGGGTGCTGACCAGAGTCTGAGAACCGCTCACTGAAAGAACCCATAAAAAATCTTCATTGTGTCATTTTGTATACAATAAAGCTTCACCTTAAATATATGTTCACTTATCATTCGTGACTTTTTGAATATGTATACTATTGATGTAATCTGCATGGTTATTGATATAATCTGTATACTATTGACATAATCTATACCCTATTGATATAATCTGTATAATAATGATATAATCTGCATAATTATTTATAAATTCTGTACACTATTGACATAATCTATACATTATTGATATAATCTGTGTACCATTGAAATAATCTACATAATTGTTTATATATTCTGTATAATATTGACACAATCTATACACTATTTATATAATGTGTATACTATTGATATAATCTGAATACTTATTGATATAATCTGTATACTATTGTTAAATTTTGTATACTGTTGTTTTAATCTGTATACTATTGATATAATCTGTACATTATTGATGTACTCTGTACACTATTGAAATAATCTGTAGACTATTGATATGATCTGTGTACTATTGATACAATCTAGGTTATAGTGAAAGCAACTGATAAATAATGTAAGTTCAAAATTTTACTACATTGTGATAAAAGAATTTCCATCGTACAGACGGGCATTTTTCATATAATATACACAATATCTGCGATTCTCAAAAGATGTTGTTTCCAGGCAGACCAACCTTGACATGTATCATGAGAAAACATGCACATCAAGGTACGTTCTTCAAGTTTGACAACAAAAGCTTGCATATGGAGTATATTAAGTCCATTAGTGGGACAAAGGTCGCAGTTCAAACTCATCTGTAAAATCACCCCCCCCCCCCTTTTATTTTGATTACTAATAACCTGTCAATAAATTCTTGATAACTATTGTATCATGAGAAAACATTGAAATCAAGGTACGTTCTTTAAGTTTGGCAACAAAAGCTTGCATATGGAGTATATTAAGTCCATTTGTGGGACAAAGGTTGCAGTTCAAACTCATCTGTAAAATCACCCCCCCCCCCCTTTTATTTTGATTACTAATAACCTGTCAATAAATTCTTGATAACTATCTGCACATTCTTTGTCTCCTTTCCATTTTGTATTGCTATGGAAAGGTTGATTTTAAAGCATATTATGATAAGGGACTGGAACAAGCTTCTAAAAGCAACAGTTGAGGCGACTACACTTGACACATTTGCGTCTGTTGCCTCCTGTCTTCCAACCTCCAGTTCATAACACCACTGTTGAGTAGCCCTTCCAACCAGTGAAGTATCCCCTTCAAAACCTTGCACAGTAACATCGCGAACCCCTCCGAAACATAGGAGCCATAATGATCAATCCATTGATCGTGGGCCCTCAAAATATAGAAGCAGAAGAAGGAGAAGAAGATGATAACAAGGAAACACCAACAGAGTGATTGTGTAACATTCATATAGGAAGCCATCGTGACAGTAGAATCGGTGACGAAGTGAATGATTATATCTTAGAAGAACATACAACATGAGGGGAGTATTAAATATTCATACAAAGAGTATAAGTAAATGGAGAAAAAACAGCCTAAGTGGACGAGGTGATGGAAAAAAGGGGGGGGGGGAGCTATCGTTTATGCTCTCATTAGGTTCGCCACAAAATGTGGGTTAAACTTTTACTTGGAGGGATGCGGGTTAAACTTAAGTCAAAAGGGTCAAGGGTTAAACTAAAGCCAGAAGGGATAAGGATTAAGCTAAAGCCAGAAGAGATAAGGATAAATCTAAAGCCAGAATGGATAAGAATTAAGTTAAAATCATAAGGGATAAGGATTAAGCTAAAGCCAGAAGGGATAAGAATTAAACTTAAGTCAGAAGGAATGAGGGTTAAGCTAAAGCCAGAAGGGATAAACACACGTGCGTTGCTGTGACACGATACGATGGTGTCGCTGCGCGGAAGAAGATTGTCAACAACATGCAGACCTTGAGTTTTTCAACTGTGACCAGGATTCCTAATATGCTACACAGCTGTTGACATGCTTTCGTTTGACAACGTCCTTAAAAAAATGGGACGCCACAGGCGATTACGGTTCATGGGCGGATCTAGGATTTGTAAAGGGGAGCGTCGTGCTCAATAATAATGGAGCTTTGTGAATACCCTTTTCTCTATAACACACACAAACACACTGATAAGCATATTCCATCTTACTGTATTAAAAAAAAATGTTTGTTTAAATTATTACTTAGATGATTTTATATTGTGTGTGTAAGACATCGATATTATATTACATATTTTTACAGCATTATTAATTTGGAAGTGTGCAGCCTGAAATGGTTTAATCGGCTCTATACAAATAATGATCCACGTCATGCTCGTTGGTTAAGATGATGACACATAATAAGGGCTTTTAATTTTTTTATACAAAAAATAAATAAAACATCGTATCATCCTTCTTGCGGCCAAATCAAGGTCCTGTGTGACATTGTATCATCCTTCTTGTAGCCAAATCAAAGTCCTCTGTGACATCAAATCATACTTCTTGTAACCAAACCAAGGTCTTCTGTGACATCGTAACATCCTTCTTGTAACCAAATCAAGGTCCTCTGTGACATCGTATAATTCTTCTTTTAGCCAAATCAAAGTCCTCTGTGACATCGAATCATCCTTCTTGTAACCAAATCAAGGTCCTCTGTGACATCGTAACATCCTTCTTGTAACCAAACCAAGGTCCTCTTTGACATCGTACCAATCTTCTTGTAACCAAATCAAAGTCCTCTGGGGCATCGTATAATTCTTCTTTTAGCCAAATCAAAGTCCTCTGTGACATCATATAATTCTTCTTGTAACCAAATCAAGGTCCTCTGTGACATCGTAACATCCTTCTTGTAACCAAACCAAGGTCCTCTTTGACATCGTACCAATCTTCTTGTAACCAAATCAAAGTCCTCTGGGGCATCGTATAATTCTTCTTTTAGCCAAATCAAAGTCCCCTGTGACATCGAATCACCCTTATCAAAGTCCTCTGTGACATCGAATCACCCTTATCAAAGTCCTCTGTGACATCGAATCACCCTTATCAAAGTCCTCTGTGACATCGAATCACCCTTATCAAAGTCCTCTGTGACATCGAATCACCCTTATCAAAGTCCTCTGTGACATCGAATCACCCTTATCAAAGTCCTCTGTGACATCGAATCACCCTTATCAAAGTCCTCTGTGACATCGAATCACCCTTATCAAAGTCCTCTGTGACATCGAATCACCCTTATCAAAGTGCTCTGTGACATCGAATCACCCTTATCAAAGTAATCTGTGACATCGAATCACCCTTATCAAAGTCCTCTGTGACATCAAATCACCCTTATCAAAGTCCTCTGTGAGATCGAATCACCCTTATCAAAGTCCTCTGTGACATCGAATCACCCTTACCAAAGTCCTCTGTGACATCGAATCACCCTTATCAAAGTCCTCTGTGACATCGAATCACCCTTATCAAAGTCCTCTGTGACATCGAATCACCCTTATCAAAGTCCTCTGTGACATCAAATCACCCTTATCAAAGTCCTCTGTGACATCGAATCACCCTTATCAAAGTCCTCTGTGACATCGAATCACCCTTATCAAAGTCCTCTGTGACATCGAATCACCCTTATCAAAGTCCTCTGTGACATCGAATCACCCTTATCAAAGTCCTCTGTGACATCGAATCACCCTTATCAAAGTCCTCTGTGACATCGAATCACCCTTATCAAAGTCCTCTGTGACATCGAATCACCCTTATCAAAGTCCTCTGTGACTAAACACGTGACAACAAAATAGACATTAATTAAAACGAAGAACAACTTTAGAATATCAAAGGCAAAACACAACAGGCAAATTCCACAAATCACGATGAAATGAACAAAAATAAAAATAAAAACAAAATAACAACAACATAATATACTTAATTTAAAAAAATGGATTTTAATTGTTTTACTGAATAAGGAAAATGAAAATTATATTTGATTTAAAATAATGGTTTTATTTAGCTTGCACTGGTTGATTAAAATATGAGACCTTTAAATTCATATTCAGACCATAACATTCATATTACACCGCGACATTCATATTAGACCATTTTATTCCTGTTAGACCATTGCATTCGTTACAACGTTAATATTTTTAAATGTCACACGAGTTCGCAGTTGTCAGATTAGGTATGAGTTGAAAACATTTCTTTCAGCAAAGATTAACGCCACCGTCTTCTTCTTCGCCAAAAAGTCTTCCGATGACATAGATTTTTATTTTAACGCAATCTACAAGACAATCTTATAATCAAGATAAACCTGTATATTTTGAGAATCCATGCAATAATCCCCCTCCCCTCTTTTTTTTTTAAGTGACCCCAACCGTCCCATTTTTGTTAGATCTTGTATTTACAAAATAAATGTTTTTTTTTTTTTTTAATTTTTTAGAAGAAAATATCCAGAATTCCGCCATTACAAATTTGAATAATAAAAAAATATTAAAATAATTTAAAAATAAAAAAATAAAAAATCTCCCCCTCCCCTCTTTTTTTTTTAAGTGACCCCAACCGTCCCATTTTTGTTAGATCTTGTATTTACAAAATAAATGTTTTTTTTTTTTTTTAATTTTATAGAAGAAAATATCCAGAATTCCGCCATTACAAATTTGAATAATAAAAAAATATTAAAATAATTTAAAAATAAAAAAATAAAAAATCCAATGCTAGAATCAGTTGAATTTGTGATGTCCAGAGCGTTCCTCCCCACTTTCCCGCTCCCAAACACACGAAAGTTACGTAAGACATATTCGACATTATGCACGTATCTTATAGGAAATCACAGAGGACGTCGACTCAGTTAGAAGACAGATCTCAGGATTACTTACCTTTGCAGTCATTTGGGAAGGGTTAGGGTGGATGCCTGGCGTGTGACCAAAGCGGGAACACCCGTAGGGGCGACGCCTATGTGGCACACCAGATTAACGAAACAAATCTTACAGTGTGCAGAAAGGCTTACAGTGTGGAGCACTGTGTCTATCCACTGGAAAGCGTTTCGCTGAACGATAAATTCGTTCTTTCAACCATAAGTTCGTCCACGTTAAAGAGGGTCTTAATATTTATTATTACCCTAACTAAAGATGTAGTTTTTAACTCACACACAAGCATCTCCAGAAAGCATTTAGTCTTATCACAGGTTTTCGATGTCACAGCAATCCGATGAACAGTTTTATATCAGATACAGTGACAACGATGCAAAAAAAAAAAAAATAAAAAAAATATCCTACCATGGATAAATAATTCATTTGTTCTTAAAAATTTTGAACATTACAAATAATTGTTTTAGCTAAGGCACACATTCTGGCGAAGGTCTGAGATTACTCTCTTACCACATCGGCTGGTGCATCGCCTACCAGCTCCATCTGCTGAGCTGTGCCGGCTGGTACGTGGGCTGGTACATTGCCTGCCAGCGCCACCTGCTGAGCTGTGCCGTCTGGTACATTGCCTGTCAGCGCCTTCACTGAGCTGTGCCGGCTGGTGCATTGACCGCCAGCGCCATCTGCTGAGCTGAGTCTTATAACATTGCCGTCATGTGGGGCTCTCCCGTCACCCTGGCCTCCCCCCGAAACCTCTAGTGAGGAACATTAAGTCAACAGATGCGCCAGTGTCTCTGGGACCAGGCTGCAATGCTGACAGACATGGTACCTTTTATTATTTAGCCTTTTGAAGTATGTGCCGAAGGGAAATAATAGATAGTGAGTGCTCAAGTTGGAAATATTACCAACAAAACAAAAACAAAAAATTTAAAAAGCTAAAACTGGAAATAGCGTTTTGGAGGGTGTCCTTCATTCGATTCAAGATGATAAAATAAGTACGTTATAAAATGTTGAATAAGGAGACAAACTATTTTGAAGTTCAAAACATTGTTTACAATATAAACTTCTGCGTTACTATATAGTCTAGCTATTCACAAAAATTAACATACTTCGCGTCTGTATCAGGATTTAAATCCACATAATGTCCAGGTTATATTATTGCAATGGATATTTGACATGATGTTACACAATTCACCATTGTAAGCTATGTGTCACATTTTCAAAGAAAACATTCGGCTGATCCAGAACACTACATTATTCCTTGATGTCATTGGCCAGTTTGTCCCACAACCTATTCAAACTGCCGGCATCCAGCTGGTTCTCAGGGTACGGCACGTAGGTATTGTTCCGTATGTTGTAAAGCAGCTCAACGCCGAGGTCGCTCGCGGGTATCTTCTCCATGAGCAGGAACACGAGCACCTGCCTGCCCGTGTGGATGCTCTCCATGTTGGCCATCTGGATCTCGTACCCACACCAGTAGCTCTTGATCATGTTGCGGGTGAGGACCACGACGGTCTTCCTGCTGCTGCACACCGACTTGACCACGTTGGACGCTATGTAATCTCCGGCTTTGAAATCGCGACCGTGTATGCAGAGCTTTAACTTTCTCGACTCGAGCTCACTGCACAGCGTCCTAACCACAAACTCCTCGTCAGAATGGTCGTAGGACACAAACGCATCGTACTGGAAACCAGTGTCACGTTTGCGATCTAGCCTTTTGTATTGCAGGTACGCTGCATAGTACAGGTACCGTATTTTCCACCTGAATCTGTAAATAATACCTCCGAGGATGACGATAAACATGACCACCGTTCCGGCTCCGACGAAGAAGAATATCGTGACGTGGGACGTGCACGCGTGTTCAAGCTCGTCCAGCGTGGAGTTGTAACCGTCCGTAATCGGCATTATGGAGGAGTCCTCCTTGACGCAGAGGTAGCCCTGAAATCGGTCGTCGAAGGCTCTGGAGCCGGTCATCCACAGGAGAAATTCGAGGTTGACGCACTCGCAGAGAATGCTGCACTGGGCCATTTTGATCTCCAGGAGCTTAAGGTGGCAGTCTATGAAGGTCCTCGTGTCCGCCGGCAAGCTGGAGATCTGGTTGTGGCTGAGATCCAAGTAGGTGAGATTGAAAAGTAATGAGATGTCCACCGTGAAATTGATCATTGAGTTGTTCGCCAGAATGAGGACCCTAAGGCTTTTAAGGCTCTTGAATATGCCAGGGTCCAGTTTACGTATGTTGTTATAGGATAGGTCCAGTCTTGATAAAGAGGTCAAATTGGAGAACACGAAAGTTTCATTACTTTCGTCTCTTTCAGAGAAAAAATCCCCCAGTTGGTTGTTATTCAAAGAAAGGTTTTTCAAAGAGCGGAAACTTGGGAAAAAATGACACGAAATAAACTTGACTTGACAAAAGGAGAGATCCAACGTCTCCAGCTGGTCAAAATTGTGAAACGGACCGTAGAGATGGGAGAAATAATTACCCCTCAGGCTCAGGTGCTTTAGGTTGTTGTGAGTAGCGTTAAGCTCGGAGAGATTATACTTCAGTCCAGCTTCGTTCATTTCAATCGTCTCTAGATTAGGCGGCAGGTCAAGCACAAATGCCCTAAACTTCTGAACTTTGGTGTGTCCGTAAAGTGTGCAGTTGCTCTGGAGGCTATACCTTGAAAGCTCGTAGGGGTAAAGACTGGGTAAATTGTAAACGAAACTACCGCCATTGATTTTCACACTGGTCAAATTTTTCATCCGATGAAGGTCCAGGAGGTAGGTCCCGAATACAAATTTATTTCCACTGACGTCGAGCGATTTTAACGAGGGCGACAGTTTAGATATGACCTGCCTGTCCAAGGCCTCTAAATTGTTCTCCTGCGCGTCAAAGTGCTCGAGATATTTTGGGAAGTGCCTGATGTAGGAGCTGTCGAGGCAGATGCCCACCGAGTATCTGTTCACGATTAAATGCATCTTCAGATGTCGCAACGTTTTGGTGTCGTGCAGGCCGTAGAACACCTTGTCCAGGTTGACGATGTCGATGTCCTCGTTGTGGGTCAGATCTAGCGAAACGAGGCTCCCCAAAGGCGAGAAGGTGCCGGCCTCGATAAACTTACCTTTCACGTAGCAAGAGCTCAGGTTCAGGTGCTGCAAGTGCTGCACGTTCACGAACGTTTTGTTCGTGAGGGAGGTCATCTTACAATAGCCGCCTTGGTACCCCGACACGTTCAAACTTATCAGTGATGTCATATTCCGAAACCCAGGCCCGAACGTGGCATTCTCCAGCCCGTCAATTTGCAAGGTTCGCAGCTTAACGAGCTTCGATAGCGCCCGATCGGGATAGCCGAAGCCGGTCGATCCGTTCGGCATGTTTTGATTGAGAAATAAAACTTCCAGCGAGACGAGAGGGCTGAACACGTCCGGGTGGTACGGGCTGAGACGCAGGTCGAGATTATTATTCCAAAGGGAGAGTTTTTTGAGTCTGCCCAGCCCCTGGAACGCGTCCACTGACATACACGATATCAGGTTGCTTGAGAGGTCGAGGTAAATCAACTGTTTGTACCTGACGAACGAGTTGTCTTTAAGCGCGGATATTTTATTTCCGTGGAGATCAAACCGGAGGATAGTCTCGTCGTATTCCTCATCAGGAACTTGTTGCAGGCTCCTTTTAGAGCAATTGACATAAGTTGAATTGTGACTGCATGAATTATTGATATGCACAGTTGGAAAAATACATGAAGTTCCTATCGACCGCCAACGATTATTGTTTCCATTTTCACTCGGCTGATTTCCTTGAGATGCATACCCAGAGAAATGCAGAATTTCTCTTTTCAACCTTGTCCTCTTGCGAGAGTTCTGAAAACGAGACCGGATTTGTTCTTTACCAAAGTGGCGATTTTCGTATTCGACAGATGTTAAATATTTATTGTATTTTGGTTCCCCCGTTCCGACAACCGCAGGTCTTGCCATCTGGAAGACATTGCCGAGTTTGTGGTTTGTGCTCTCTGCATGGTCCGCCCCGGAAATGACGTTTTTATCAGCAGAAGTCAACAGGCTGTCAGACGGCGACCCCTGGGAGGCACGGGTCGGTTTAAGATTTGTGACAAGTTGACACTGTACGTCTGGACATCGGGTCGTGACGTAGAGGCAGAGGAGCAGCGTCCACCCTGATGACGTCATGGCTGAAATGATGTACATACAATTTTTTGGTCATATTTCTCTTTAAAAACAATTATATGAAAGGTTTTAATATGAAAATAGTGTTAAAAAAAACTCTCTAAATAATATATTATTATATACAATGGATGAACCGTTTTTCGCTCTGGTCACTAACCACTCCCCCCCCCCCCTTTTTTAAATTTTAAAAAAAAAAAATTTTAAAATTATAGTTATCAGTAGTCGCAACATGACTTTTTTAAATGATTAGTTAATTGTCAATATATTTTATAAACTTTAAGTCACCATCTCCATCACCATTCCCATCACAATCACTATCACAGTCAACATCCTAATCACCATCCCCATTACCATCCCAGATCACCATCACCATCCCACGTCACCACCACCATCCCACATGACTACCACCACCATCCACGTCACCATCACCATCCCACATCACTACCACCACCATCCACGTCACCATCACCATCCCACGTCACCACCACCATCCCACAATCACCATAACCATTATTCGTTAAAATCCCCTGATCCCAGTTGAGAACAGCCAACATGTTGAGTTCGCATCGGTCTTACGGTCACCCTATAAAGATTGAATCGAGAAGTACGAGGATACACTCGTGGGTGGGGGGGGGGGCTAAATCCATGCCATTAAAGGAATACGGTTATAACATCACACGGGCGCTTTCATTGGTACATGTGTAAAAAACTTTTATGATATTTCTCCCTAATGTTGTAGTCTAGTATATACATGAGCACAAAACAACAGCAACCATAAAATACAATGAACACCCCCCACCACCAGAAACAAGACCCCCTCCCCTCATAAAAAAAAACCAACACCCTTGAGTTTGCGCAAAATCGTAAGTGCTTTTCAGCGTGTTGCTGTTGTTTTATGTTAAAAATGGAGCTACCGCCACATAAACTTGTCCATAACGTGAAGAGCTGTGGTAAGGGGGGGGGGAGTAGGCCAAGCGTGTATGCGAAACCACATAGGTTCGTGAAGTCTTTTGAAATGAATTCGTTTTTTTTGTTTTTTGTACATGGCCAAACAGAAATCTGTTATAGAACTTGACAGTTCACATTTGTGTTCCACGTGGCACAGTTAACAATGCCTCAACAATCTTCCCATTAACAAAAAAAAATAAATAATGGTAGTAGGAATGTCACGATAACCTAGCACAGTGCATTCGAAAGACGAATGATAAATTACAAAGCAAGCGCTAGGGTGCTTAATCCTTTCAGTTTATTAAATATATTTTGTACGTGCCTAAATAATGATATATATATATATATATATACATATACTATATATATATATATATATATATATATATATAAAGCACAATATTTATTCAAAGTTAAATTACTTAATGTATGCAAAGCCATCACCATGGTTGGTGTCACCCGGTGAGGTCTGCACCCCCTAGTGACGCCACTGGGTGTAGGTTTGTTTGTGTTATTGTTATGATGCTTATAGGTATCACCTATTAGAACATGCAGTGCATTGTATCTCTTACGTACCACGCCAACTCTCTGAGCCAAAAATGCTTACATCGCTAACAAAAGCTATGGCGTTATCCGAAAACTCTAATGATTGAGCCAACCCCTGTGTGAAAGCAAAGCACTGTGTGACAACCCACCACTGTGTGACGGCCAAGCACTCTATGTCAGCCAACCACTGTGTGACAGCCAATCACTCTTTGGCAGCCAACCACTGTGTGACAGCCAAGCACTCCGTGGCAGCCAACCACCGTGTGAAAGCAAAGCACTCTGTGACAGCCAACCGCTGTGTGACAGCCAAGCACTCTGTGACAACCCACCACTGTGTGACAGCCAAGCACTCTGTGGCAGCCAACCACCGTGTGACAGCCAAGCACTCTGTGACGGCCAACCACTGCGTGACAGCTAAGCACTCCGTGACGGCCAACCACCGTGTGACAGCCAAGCACTCCGTGACGGCCAACCGCCGTGTGACAGCCAAGCACGCTGTGTCGGCCAACCACTGTGTGACAGCCAAGCACCCTGTGGCAGCCAAGAAATCTGTGACAGTTAACCACTGTGTGACAGCCCACCACTGGTTGTCAGCCGAGCACTATGTGACAGCCAAGCACTGTTTGACAGCCCACCACTGTGTGACAGCCGAACCATTGTGTGACAGTATTCATATCGGGTACCTTTATTCTAGCCAGCGGGCAACTGTTTACCCCACGAGTATAATTTGTCCATTCGTGTCATGGCTCAGTCCCGGAACAAACAAACGTCATTTCAGTGTATTATTGTATTCGCAAGAAATGTGACAAGTCAGGGATCTTACAGCAAAAAGCAAACAAGCACATAAGTCATCGGCCATGACGTGTACGTCATCAGTCATGATGTGTAAGTCATCGGTCAGGATTAGTGAGTCATCAGTCATGACGTGAAAGGGATCGGTAATGATGTGTAAGTCATCGGTCATGACGATGAAGTCATCGGCCAGGACGTGTAAGGGATCGGTCATGATGTGTAAGTCATCGGTCATGACGATCAAGTCATCGGCCAGGACGTGTAAGTCTAAGAAATGTTACCAAGTCCTTACTTCATAAGTTTGTCCACACTGATTACTGATTACTGTTAAAGCTGAATTATAATGATCAGAAATATATCTATGTATTTTGTTAGAATATAACTAACCCCAAGCTAGTTTTATAGTGTTACTACATTGCCATGTCAGCAGACCCAAATAATAAGCTATCTTAAGACAATCATCTTATTCAGCAGTTCTCAACCTATGGGTCGTGACCCATTTGGGCGGTCGAACGACCCTTACCCAGGGGTCGCCTGAGACCATCGGAAAACACATATTTATGGAGCAGCAAGGAAAATAATTTTTAGGGTTGGGTGTCACTACAACATGAGGAACTGTGCGACAGGGTCACGGCATTAGGAAGGTTGAGAGCCACTGTTCTAACTCATCTGTGCCGTTTTTACTAGCATACTAAAGTAGCGTGATGTTTAAGTGAGAAAGGGTTTAATTCCTACCGTGCTGGGGAGTAATGTCCCTGTGTGTTGTAGAGTAATGTCCCTGGGTGTTGATAGCTTTGTAATGTCAACACCTTATCAATGTTGAGCACAGGGGTTGCTATAACGGTTCCTCGACTTGCCATGGTTACACTTCCTACTCAAGAACATTTTCATTGCTGACGAAAGAAAAACAACAAATTTAATGCATAACCAAAGCCATGCATATTTAGACAATGAGAATTCATTTTTTTTTCTTGTTTCAAATGATGTTTTCTGCTTTTCAAGGCTTTAAAAAAAACCCCAACATAATCCTAATTCACTTATTTATGTTTCGCGTTTTACCTAATAACTCTTTGATTTTAATCTTCGCTCACAAAATTGAACACTTCAATAAGTATAAAAAAAAAAAAACACCTAACAAACAACAACATTATCTCCTAGGCAAGGCCTTTTGCAAGGCAGCTGTCCTTCCAGTATCTCTAACACTTTACAAGACATATCACTGCAGGCTTCGGGGTATTCGGGGAAATTCCGATGAATCATTAGATCTTCTTTCACCATTTATAGCGTTTGAAAAAAAAAACAAAAAAAAAAAAAAACTAACAACACATTTGTGGCTTCGGGGTATTCGGGGAAATTCCGATAAATCATTAGATCTTCTTTCACCATTTATAGCGTTTGAAAAAAAAAACAAAAAAAAAAAAAAACGAACAACACATTTGTGTAGGCGGGGCTTAAACTTGCATTCCGGAAATGAAACTCATCTCTTCACAAGTTTAAGATATGCGTTACACGGGCGGCCGATGTATTTGTTGGCCAGAACCGAAAGTGTGGTTTTCTTTGAGACCTGCACTGATACACTTTGATGACGCTCAGTTGGTCTCATTCGTCTGGAGTTGAAGTACCCGTAATTTCTACCCGGATTCCCATCTTATTTAAACGTGGGTTTCAACTTTTTTTTTTACACAGGGGAATGGGATATTATTGCATGAAATACTTAATCGTTGTCTGACAAACTGCCAGTCATTAGCATCTTGAAGTGTTTAAGTTCAGCATAGACTGGCGAAACTCAATTAACGGATCTCAAAAAATATATTAGAAATTGTATGCAGTTGCAAATCATGTTGCTAGGATCCTACTTGAACATTACACTGAATACAAGTTGCTTCCTTGCGTTGAAATGAGAGACAAAAAGATAATCTTAATTTGGACTTAATTAAAAAAACAACATAATTTCTTAATTTGGACTTAATTTAAAAAATATATCTTAATTTGGACTTATTATAAAAACATATATAAAAGCCATGTACAAAATTGCAACCCCCCCTTCCCACTTTTATTAGTTTCTAAATAGGGGAGGAAAAATATTTCTTAAACTCAGCCCAATTACGGATGTGCTTGACCTACACCTAAGAGGTCATGTAAGGGTCAAGGTCAAGGTCAAGACGGCTGGCACATGTGTCATAAAACCGTCTCACTGATTTATGTGGGATTAGGCACATTCTTTATGTACA